TAAGGAAAACTATGAGTATTTTAATTATAAATTTACGTTATAAATTGAATCAAATGATAGAGAGCATTTAATTATTTGATTTGAACTATTAACTAATATTTATTGGATAATTAAATACAAAAAGGTTGAAAGAAATAACTGAGAAATTTTACGATTTTCAAATCTCTAGTGGACTTGAGTCAATTCTACCCTATTAGTAACACAAACATCGATCAGTCAATTCTTCCCCATAAGTCACACAAACGTGTCATTAATTTGATTATCATGAACAGAACTGAAGAGCATAATAATTTCTTCTTTTTCTTTAATTCTATTTGTGATTTTCCTCAAGGAGTAGAAAGTTGCATGAAGTTTTTGCAAGAAATTTCCAATGAAACCTACAAATTTAGTTCATATTCAACTATTCATTGCATACATATAAAAGTACACCGGGAATGCAAACTACTCGGCAGACCCCATAACTTTGAAAATTCCAATTTCCAAAAAGTCTCCTCTTATTCTGTAATGGGCCAGTTTGGCCATCTTTAATTCAGTCAATTGTCATTCTTTACGGTTTATTTCCACTAAATCTTTGGTAACCTCATGTCGCCCTTCCTTCTTTTTTTTTTTTTCTGGTTTGCCTTGGTTAAATTTAAGTATCTTTTTTATTTTTTGGTAAAACTTGAACAATGCATTCATTTAGTTATTTCCTTGTCGTGTATATGATGGTGAAGAAATTTGGTGTGATTGGACGTTAAAAATGCTTCAATCTGCTTTTGATTTGACTCTTGCTGAGAAAATACTTATCCTTCAATTCAATTTTAAAAATTCCAAGGGCCTCCTCCAGTTATTGTGCTACACACAATAAATTAATGCATGATCTTTTCTTTTCTCAATTTGAAGTGGAGTCAAGTCCCTTACTGTCTTAGTTAAGGTAAAAGAAGTATCCAGTACTAAGTGGAGTTAAGTTCTTACCGTCTTAATTAAGTGGAGTCAAGTCCATCATCTCCCATATGACAAAAAAAAAAAGAGTGCCTTCTTCCACTTAATAATTTTTAGTGGGAACGTCTTGAAACAAGTCCAAAGAGGTAATGAACGAGGACTCCATTGGGTGTTGACTTCAATAACCAAATTAATTAGTAAAACCATTGTCGCAATTTGCCAAGACTTCAAAATCTCTTCCACAACGAATCATAGAAAGTTGCAACATCCATCTCTAACAACAGGATCCCATATAACTGTAGACATCCCCATTTATTGACATCTCACTTCCAAGACCATACTCATAAACCCAACAACAATAACATTAGAAATTATAATAATCTTTTGAAAAGTAAATTACCTGTTCAATTTTTTTAGTAAGCATGAGTTAATATTAATGTAGCAGAATATCAAAAGTCTTGCAATTCCCTGCAGCTGCATAACACGAGTTCAGGACACCTTGAGGATCATGAAAATCTTTGTTCTACATCTGATGTAGGACAGAATTCTAATCTTTGTCCTACATTATTTTTTGTTATTAGATTTTCCAATATTAATTATGATTTTATATTTGGGAAGTTTAATTATTTTAGGATTTTGGTTAAATTAGGAAGGTTTATTTTAGTTTCTTATTTAATAATTCCTTATCTCTTGTTCTATTAACACTAGGATAAATTTAGTATAAATAGATTTGTTATCCTACAAACAATAATAATGGCTTATCAATAAAATTTCTTAATGGTTTCTTGGTGAACTGTTTTGTCGTAGATTCGGCATTTTCTTGTGGATTCAAAAAATCTCCTTATACATTCAGGAGTTTTATTATTGGATTTGAGCTACTATGCTAAAAAGTGTATCTAGTGTCTATCCTATTCTGCTGCATCACAAACAGAATGGCATTTCATTATAATCAGTTCTGAAATCATTCCTAGTCCACTCTCAAACGCACTAGCTTGACCCATCGCCGACTCGGTCAAGTTAGTGTGCCTCTTGATTTGATTTTCAAACTCAAATGAAATTATAAAACATATATAAAATAATTATAGAATCTTCCTGGGGATTGGTCTTCCATTTTTTGTTAATTTCATCAACTTAATTGAAAGCAGTTTGTCTGTTTCATGCCATGGCTGTTTGTTTTCTACACGTTTCGCTTGCTTTAGTCTATATGGACATTCTGCAAAAGCTTCAAACAAGTTAAGCTTTGTTCAGAAAATGTTTATGCCACAATTCAATTTTCAAAATACTCAAGTCCTTTGTGTTGCGCATAAGAAATTGGTCAATTCCATAGTTCTTTTGTCAAATTTAAGTGAAGTCTAGCCTCATTCCTCTTTGTTTTCTGGTAAAGAAATGATGATCATGAGTACATAGCATTAAATTTCTACCAATAATCATAGAATGTTGCAAAAGTCAATATCTTCCACTGAAAATATAGAAAGTTGCAAAATCAATTTCCCTGGAAATTTCTGAGTACTGTGGTTCATTATGATGCTTGGAGAAGTTGAACCCTCCATAGTTAACGTATTATTCACTCTGGCAAGAAGTTGAAACCAGAAACAAAGTTGCAAAAAAAATTTATAGGAAACTTCAAATGAAATAATACAAATTAAGCACATTTTTCAAACGAAAAATAAATTGGCATCGTGATTCAATTGGTGTTTGACGCTGGCTCTTTAAGAAGCAGGACCGAAGCCGTAGAGAGGAAGCGGGAGTTTCCCACCCCATCTTGCATGCTTTGGGCCCATTTTCGGCCCAGAATTATTATTATTGGGTCCTCTTTTAGAGGATTGGACCTAGATTTGGAAAAAAAATTATTTAGACCCAGACATTAGTGTTATTAATTATTTGATTAAATAGACTATATTATACAATATTCATTATTAAATCTTTAATTATTTTAATTATTGTTATTTACTTAAATTATTGGCACAGTGGTTTTGACTGGAGCTTATGAAAGAAAAGATTGAGTAGAGTTTATAAGAGTAGAGCTTTTGTGAAAATTTTGTTAATTGTTTTTTAGGAAAATGTAAAAAAGCTATCTTATGTTAATTTACCAAGAAGGCTTTAATTTTCTAGAATAAATCAAGTTAAATTTATAAAATAAAGTAAGAAAATTTTGAAATTTCAGCACTTTAAATAAGCTACAAAAAGCTTATAAAATTTGAGTTTCTCCTTATAAGTTGTAAAATAATTTATTTAAAATCCTAAAAGAACTTTTGAAATACAATCAAACAGTCTTAAAAAATATATAATTACTTATATGACCCTATTTTAAGAGTCAAATTAAAAACAACCCATCTCTAATTAACTCCGCAAATAAGACCTTTGACACAAAATTTGGACGATTTTGCCCTTCTCCTTCAATTCACTTCTTTACTTCTTTCTTTCTCCTCTTCTCTTCTCTTCTCTTCTATCTTCTCCTTAATGTTTTAGATTTATGTTTTTTGTATTTTTGTATATAGTTAGGGTGATATTATGTTCATATGTGTTTAATATAAGTGAAATATTGCATATTTAGGGGAAAATTGGTTACTGAACAGCATTTAACTGAACGAGATGGCTTCGGGATGTTTCCATACAAATTATTACTATCAATATCAAAATATTGGAGTTTAGTACCAGAGAGATTAGCGATTGAATGAGGAAATGGTGCTTTGAATTTGTTTTCAGCGATGATGAAAGCCCTCGAATTGCTGCCTATTGGCCAAAGAATCGATAAATCACATCTCATCGCCTTCCCCACTTCCTAAATTATTACGGCCAAAAATTACAACTTCAAGATGTTGCATGCCTCGAAAATTGTATCAACGGACAATTTTCCTGAAAAACCATTAATGGCCATTTGGATATGTTGGAGTTCTGAAGAATTGGATAAAGATACTGGAATAGATCCACCAAATTTTTTTTCTGAGATTTGAAAAATTTTGAGATGAGGAAGAGTAAGACTTCCTTTTAAGTCGATTGCCACCCAAAGAAAAAAAATATGAGGAAGGAAAGATCGTATATTGAAGGAAGGACTGTACCAGATAGGTTGTTATTACCAAGTCCAAGAGAGTCTAAGTTATTCAGTTGACCCAATGAATCTGGAATATTTCCTTCCAATTTATTATGAGCCATGGATATACTTTCCAGGGAGGTAAGATTCCCAAGAAAATGCGGAATGGCTCCTGTAAAACTGTTACGGTGCTCAGCTATTTCTTTGAGGTTGAACAAGGAGATAAACTCCGGTGGAATTTTCCCAACAAGCTTGTTAAATCCTAAATATAAAAATGTGAGCCTGGAACAACGGGACAAGTTGGCTGGAATTTCTCCAACCGAGGAGTTATTGTGCAGCAGTATTTCTTCTAACCGGAACAGACGGCCAACTTCAGGAGGGATTTCACCTTGGATGCTGTTGTTTGCAGATCGGTAGGAAGCTAAGGTTGTCAATGCATGGTGACAAGGACCCCAACAAACCTCTAGAACCGTGACTCTTCTATGCCTGCGACTACATGTAACGCCCTCCCATTCTCAGAAATGAAGAGATTCATTCCATGAGTTGAGGACCCCTTGAGGATCATGTATAATATTCAGACTTGGAATGCCTGTAAGGCGATAAGATGTGTCTCTTTTTCAGTCAATTCGGAATCGACGTTTTAATGTTCGTCACCGTGATGACAAAAACGAAAACTGATTGAAAGCAAAGTGAGACTGATCATTGTATTCATCCTTGAAAGCAAGAAGGCAAATTCTTTGATGATGTGATTGTGAAAGACTTTAAAAATCTACCAAGGGGTATATATAAATGCCAAGTGATTGATGCTGAAATCAGAGACTTCACACACTGTATACGCCTTTATTAAAAAACTTATTAATCATACTGTTTTCTAGCAATATATAATCCAATAGTTTAGAACAATTTTAACTTGAGATTGTATTTTTGCATATCGCATATCAGAAGTTTTAAAGAGTGCTAATATAATAAAAAGGAAATTTTGCTTGGTATATGTCATCTCATTTAATCCTGGATTATTGCACCATTACATATTGGAAAAGAACTTCAATAAATAAAAATGAACAAGTGAACATCTGTAGAAATATAAATTTCATATAAAATCTGAATAACATACGACAATATTAAGGATGAATGGTTCTATTCTCAGCTTTACAATTTCAGGCTGATACACTAAAATGTTTTAAGTTGATTCATCCCTCAATCTCTGATTTCGGGTGTTTATCATTTAAGCCTTTTCCTTTTTGGTTGTGAGATTTTTGGCCGACAGTTCCGTTATAGGACAAAATAGTATTAGGATGATTCCGAAACCGCAGCCTAGTCCCATTGAATCTCTCTGTGGAATGTCCATTCAGAAGGATTTAACGTAGTCTTTCCATCAGCCGCCACAAGATCATATGCCGAATCCTCTGCAAATTCAGTGGGCATGGACTTCCAGTGCAGAGATGGCTTCCACTCAGCTTCTTTGAGCACTTTCAGTATCTCTGCCACCACAATCTTACTCCCCTCCTCAGACAAATGAATTCCATCTCTGGGCAAGAGAAAATAATTTACTATATTTGCATTCTGACAATTCATTGACTGGTTTGTGTCATTTCAATGACAGACAAATGTCACTATAGAGAATGACAAATGAATAACAATTGCACTAAAATGACAACCTATTATTCAACTTTTAGACAAGAAGAGAAAGAAGACTGCCCAAATGGACCACACACAAATTTACCACGACAACGTAAAGCAAATTTTCAACTTCCTGGGCTTGGTGCATGTCTCTTGCTCTCAGAGGAAAATTTCTTTTGGTATACAAGCAAAAAGATATGAACAGTAATCAAAACTAAACTGGAAATAAACTAATGGCTATAAGCTGTCTTCGGAAGTGAGTAAAACCAACTTGATTTCCATAGCTCATCTTTCTTTAGAAACAAAGGCCTGCTCATGGTAATTTCATCGATTATATAGAACACTATAAAACTGCCAAAATTGATTCTGACAGCCAGAAACCATGAGTTTCTCACTACCCACAAAAAAGTTTAAACAAATACAATGCATTAAAGGAAACACCATGCTGACGATAACCAGGACAATTTTTTCCCCAAGACAGTAGTGGAATATAACATCTAATATGAGAAAAGTAATACATAAATGAGATGGGTCATGAGTGTGCATATATAATAGAAGGAATTCCAATAAGTATCTTCCGAATAACTACTGCTTTATGGCACCATAGCCTATTGGAGAAGACCCAAAACAAGTATGTAAATTTCAGCTTTCTTTTTAAGTGAAAATTCTCCAGCTAATTTATGAATATAGAAAACAGAGAAACTTCAATTGCAGAAAAAACAAAAACCAGATACATAAGTTGGCCTAAGAAGATCAGAAATGATGATATTGTCAATCTTGATCATGTCAGAAAAAAGGAAGTGCAGTAAATATGGCAAGCTTACTTACGTAAAGCAATCAGTCATCCAATTCTCTCTCTGCTGAAATGCAGTGAAAAGATCAACCACATTCACATCTAACTCCTGGCACATCTTTATACAAGCTTCTGAGTAATTCTTGCATAGCTCATTTGTTCTTACTAGCTCACTAAAAATTCCACTGGAATATTTAAAAGATATACCAGCCTTAGAATTGACATTTTGCCACAAAAAACACAGAAAATTCAACACAGATATATACATCACAGCACCTTGTGCCTCGATTAACTCTGTCTTCATCAACAGGAGGACAACTTAGAAAAATAATGCGGGTACCACCTGGAAGACTCTGTTTTCAAACATTTAGACTGAGGGTCAAATATCATTCTTCATTAGAAACATGAAATGTCAGTTAAGTTTGAGAGATGTTCAATGGCAACACATACAAAACTAAAACTGAATACATTTAAGCATTGAGGGTTAAATGCCTAACGAAACCGAAGCTTTAAAAAACTTGTGCGTGAAGAAATAACCTTGAGATGATTTGCAATCTTTTTCATGTTTTCAACATATTCAGAAAGCGGAACGTGAGGACCTAGGCCAGATGAGTGAGGCCCCATTGAATCATTACCACCAAAATAAACAATCACCAAAGAAGGCTGTGTAGCATCATCCTGTATGGCCAAACAAAGACAATACAATAAAATAAAGATGGGATCAGAGAACCACCACAAAAGGAACCACTTCAAACATCTAGTAATTATCACATTATACAGAATCTCAACTTTTTATATCCCTGGTAATTATCATATCATTTATCATCTTATTCCATCGTCTTGTTCAACTAATAAGTGCTTAAACAACATACGGAATGAATTAATCTAAATAAGCTACATTTAGTAATATTAATACAAAAATGTCGTAATAATACCTTGGGAAAAACTTGATCAAGAACCTCAACGGCACGTCGTGAGTTCCATCCGTAATATCCTCGAAGAATAATGTCCGCCTAAATATGAAAAACGATACACAAATAAATAAACAAAAATCTAGCTGCTTAAAATAGTCCTAACAAGAGAGAGAGTGAGGGGAAAAAAAAACTTTGCGAGAGTAAACGTCGGCGAGAATGGCGCCCCAACCGCCATTGCTGAAGCTGAGCTGGACAATGGAGGATCCAAAGAGGACAAACCGAGGCCTAAGAGGTCCCACCATTTTGTCAGTTTATCAGTGAATCACCGACTCTTGGCTGCCGAGGAAGAATCGAGAGTTGACGAAATGGTTTAATCAGCTTCTCCTTTACAATAACTAGTAGTTAGAATTTCGGTGATGTTGATATAAATTTAATAAAACTCTACGCACTGCAAAACCCGCCATGTTAACCAGCTTTTGTATTTAATGGGGTAGCTACCGTAATTGGCCTTCCACCTTCCATCCCTCTCAATAACCATTCTGTCCATTCCTACTTTTATACATTGACATTGATGTGGACTCGATATTGTTAAAACGATGCTGTCAAAACTGGACAGGTGACGAGTATCTGGATTCTGTAAACGCGGGATTTGGGGGTATGAAGTTGTCTCTGATTGTATTTGTAAGTAACTCACCAAACTTTAACTTGCCAACCGTCTGTAGCCGCAGCCTTTAATACAGTCTATGACGAGTCGTTTGACTATTGGTTTAAGCCGATCAAAAGATGACATTACATGCTTCCACTTAATTATCACCGTGCGATTAGGTTAGGTCCTCGAGATTGTCGTAGCCTTCTTGATTACAGTCTTGTGACAGTAAACGATCGGAGCGGTGGGACCATTACTCTTTAATTGTATCACTCAATATTTCTTTTCTTTCATTATTATTAATAAATTTAAATCTAGATAGTTAAATCAATTTTGATATTTTTTCAAACGTGTATGGTTTGTCATCGTATAACCAGATGTCTTTAAAAGAAAAAATCAAAAAATCAAAAAAAAATTTAAAATTAATATATCCCAAGATTAACTAATAAATTTTAATATTATATAATCAAAATTAATCATAAAATTAAAAATCTATATTATTTCTTCTCAACCATTCATACCATTTGTAAGATTAATGTTAATATATATATCTCTATTTGTATTATCATTATCATGCAAAATAGGCAATATATCTCTCTGTTCACTTTCTTCATGCAAAATGAGTAAATGTAGAAAGGTTTTAGTGAACTGGGTTGGGTGACCCAGATCCGACCCCAAAAAATTTTTTGTCCTTCGGCTCAAATTAATAAACTCGTATCAATATTTTAAGGATATGAACCGATATGTATCGTATTGTAGGATGCATATCAATACATCGAAAGGTTTAAGATATACTCTCTGATACGTATCGTTGACAACCCATATCGAATCGTATCATAAGATATGTATCATATATCGTAGGATACTAATAACTATGATAAATAGCCTATACAAAACTATATGAATATGATAGCACATTAGCACCTAATTTTCCAGAGTTGGCAATTTGATCGATGATTTATCACTCATGGACGTTGATAAGATTCTTCTATTTAGCAGCATCTTACTAGGATAGAATAGCTTTAAAATAAAGTGAAGGATGAGGTTTAAACAAGGAAAGACTTATAGTGNCCTAAGATTAATTAATAAATTTTATGATATTATTAACTTTAAATTATAATATTATATAATTAAAATTAATCACAAAATTAAAAATCTATATTATTTCTTCTCAACCATTCATATCATTTGTAAGATTAATGTTAATATATATATCTCTATTTGTATTATCATTATCATGCAAAATAGGCAATGTATCTCTCTATTCACTTTCTTCATGCAAAATGAGTAAATATGGAAAGGTTTTAGTGAACCGGGTTGGATGACCCAGATCCGACCCTAAAAATTTTTTTGTCCTTTGGCTCAAATTAATAAACTCGTATCAATATTTTAAGGATATGAACCGATACGTATCGTATTGTAGGATGCATATCAACATATCGAAAGGTTTAAGATATACGTATCGTTGACAACCCATATCGAATCGTATCATAAGATATGTATCATATATCGTAGGATACTAATAACTATGATAAATAGCCTATACAAAACTATATGAATATGATAGCACATTAGCACCTAATTTTCCAGAGTTGGCAATTTGATCGATAATTTATCATTCATGAACGTTGATAAGATTCTTCTATTTAGCAACATCTTACTAGGATAGAATAGCTTTAAAATAAAGTGAAGGATGAGGTTTAAACAAGGAAAGGCTTATAGTGGATACTTGGGTATCTAAAGATGAGAAATGACGTAATTAAGGGTGATCGGTTTCGGATACCTTGTATTTTTTTAAGGAACCAGAACTGATCAATTTCGGTTTCTAAAAACCTGAAACTGGAGCCTGAAACATATGTTCCAGTTTCGATTTCGATCCTACCTTTTATCCATACTCATCCCTAGACTTAATAAGCAACAAAATGCTTCCAAGAGTACATTAACACCATTAAATAGCTCAATTATCTTCCATCAGTGACGATTCAACTTATAATAATTGATATCTCTAATTCATTTGTAGAGATGTAATTAATAGAAAGATTTGCCCGTCTCTCTTACTTCAATTTTGTTTCTAATTGCTTGTGTCGGGTTAATGTGTTTGGTGATGAAGTCTCTGAGTTGTCTTGTCACCCTCTTCAATAAACCAACAAGTTGCAGCTTTCAATCAATTTATGTCTGCAACTGACACAAGTGAGCGTGGCCTACAATAATAAAATTCAAACCAACTACCAAACTTATGTCCAATCCCGTACTTGAGGAGCAAAACCGGCCGCACATTCCGCATAGAATACTACAGCCAAAACTAAGAGATTCCAAAATTCTGTGTATTATTCAAACAATACCTCAAGAAACACTTTGTTTCTTTCAGCTTATTATTCAGTAATATTTTTGAATGACGTTTAACAACATTAATCAACCCCCCAGGAACATGGGAAGGTAGTATGTGTATATGAAAAAATAATTTTATCAGTTTTCTTTTTTTAAATAAAGAATAAATGTAGCAATCCGAGCTTGAAACCTGCACGTTGATGGAAAGATCTCAACCACGGAGGCAATGAATATGAGAATTAGTAACTGAAACAGAGTATATGTGATTGTTAACTTCACAAAGAAAGAGCTTTCCGGAACTGTAAAAGCCACATGAATATCTGTATACTGAAAAGTCGAGCTTCCAAGTAGATCTCCTCCAACCAGATACTGAAATAGTTTAAGAAGGATTTATTCTGCGACATCTTTGCCTCAATGACTGCCTTTGAAGAAACTTTTCCGATGATCAAGAATGTCTCAGGAGAAGATCCCTGAACCTGTCAAAAGAACATTTCTACCAGGGGAGTGGTAGATTCTATTAATAGTTATCAAAACCAAAATAATTTGTAAAGAAAACTGCCCAAGTGGAGGTGAGAAAACTATTTATCCCCCACTAACTACATAAATCACGACAATATTATTACAGGAAAGATAAAAGCCAAAAATCAAGTCATGCAAAGCAATAGAAAACGAGAAACAAAGAGGTGGAACAATGTGCAATACCAGAGAATTATTAACTGCTCGTAAACAGTCATTTGTCTTCAGCATTAACAGAATTACACGTGGCAGTCTCCTNCAAGGAATCTTACCTTAGGATGCCTTAGATTAATTCTCTACCAAGATCCAACTAAACACCCTCAAAAATCCTTGAAAGCTTGAAGGAAAAATTGAGAGGAAATGGAGAATGAAAGAGGCGGTGGAAGAAGATGAATGAAAGGGTTTCTAAAGTTAAACCCTTATTATCTCATATTTTATCCACTCTTCCTCATTTTACCCTTACTCTTGCTTAAGAATTCCACCTTTACCCTTTTAATTCTTTACAAATGCACCCCCATTTAAGCTATTCTTCATGCAATTTTCTTACATTTCACTCCCCACTTTTCCTGCTAATTAGGGGTAGAATGGTCATTGTGCCCTAAAGGAAGAATTCTCTAGAAACTTCAATAAACATTTTGTTAGGCTCTTCGCTGCGGCGAAGCTATTTCTTCGCCCCGGCAAACATCACAGAACCTACATCGTGTGTTACAGGACCTCATCGCCGTGGCGAAGATTCTTCTTCGCCCCGGTGAAGTTTATAACACCAAAATTCCACCAAGTCTCTACAATTTCAGGACAATCACTCAACCAAACCAATACATCCATTCAACCAAGGGCCAACCAAACCATATTAACAATATTCCAATTCAAATAAGAGTAAAATAAGAGACATTAGCTACGCACCTCGAGTGGGGCGTTACAATTCTCTCCCCCTTAAAGAATTTCATCCCCGAAATTCACACAAACAACTCCGGGTAACGATTCTGCATATCTTGTTCTACCTCCCATGTGGCCTCTTCTACTTTGTGATTTCTCCAAAGGATTTTCACTAAAGGAGTACTCTTGTTGCGATGTTCTTTAATCCTTCGGTCTAAGATCTGAATTGGGCGCTCTTCATACACCAAATTCTCTGCTAAGGCAATGTCCTCTAAACTCATAATATGGGAGGGATCATTTACATACTTTTGAAGCATTCAGACATGGAAAACATCATGCACCTTGTCCATACTAGGTGATAGTGCCAATCTGTAGGCCACCTTTCTCACTCCCTGCAATACTTCAAATGGACCTATGAATCTCGGTGCTAACTTCCCTTTGCTTCCGAACTGCATTACTCGCTTATAGGGGGAAACTCTTAGAAACACTTTGTCACCCACTCTGAATTTAACATCTTTCCTCTTCAAATCAACATAACTTTTCTGTCTATCTTGGGCTTGTTTCATTCTGTTTCTGATTAACTTTACATCCTCGATCATCTTCTGAGTTATTTCTGGCCAAAGAGCGGTACTCAACTCATCCTTTTTGGCTATCTCATCCCAATGTAGTGGAGACCGACATCGTCTACCATATAAAGCCCCGTAAGGTGCCATCTTAATTGTAGACTGGTAACTGTTATTGTAGGCAAACTCCACTAAGGGTAACATCTCATGCCAGGATACTTTATAGTCTATACAGCAAGCTCTCAACATATCCTTAAGCACCTTATTCGTTCTCTTTGTTTAACCATCTGTTTGAGGATGATAGGCGGTGCTGAATCTAAACGAGTACCCAAATTCCACTGTAAACTCATCCAGAAAGCTGAGACAAACCTGGAGTCTTTGTCTAACACTGTTGTCTTGGGCACTCCATGCAATCTAACTATCTCCTTAATATAAATCTGAGCCAATTGATTCGTAGTAGTGCTTTCCTTTACTAGAAGAAAATGGGCTGATTTAGATAGTCTATCCGCAATCACCCATATAGCATTATATCCCTTCTGTACTCTAGGGAGACCTGTGATAAAATCCATCGAAATGCTCTCCCATTTCCATTCTGGAATACTAAGTGACTGAAGCAACCCTGATGGCCTTTGATGTTCTACTTTCACCTGTTGGCAAACCAGGCACTTAGCTACAAATTCTGTAACATCTCTCTTT